ATACAGGTTTTGGTTCTTCTACTCAGAGTGACGTAGCACTGTGAGCCCAGAATTTAGGGTTTAGGGTTTAGGGTTTAGGGTTTAGGGTTTAGGGTTTAGGGTTTAGGGTTTAGGGTTTAGGGTTTAGGGGCACACTCCACCGCATCCCTAAACCCTAAACCGTAAACCCTTAATCTGTAGGGTGCCTCATGGTCAGGGACGTCGGGAGCAGCACACCTTGGTTGCCATCTCCATCTGGACGGGACGCCAGCACCAGTGCTGCCCCGAGTTTTTGGGTCTAGGGCTTAGGGTGTTTAAGGTTGTGGCTAGGCTGTGGGTGTAGGAGGTTGGCACGGAAGTGCAGCTGCCAGTCTTATTTCGGTTTTTTGGTTAGGGTTTCAGGGTTCCGCATTATTCCCCAAGCCCCGAACTTGAGCTAGTACCCTCTCCTCGAAAACCCTCTCAGCCCTCAAAAACTCACAACCGCACGGCCCTAAAACCCAAACAGGCCTTTCCCTGCCCTCTCAACGCCTAAAACCCTGAGACCCAAAACCCTAAAGCCCTGAACCCTTAGTCCCTAAAACCCTTAACCCTGGAACCCCAAACCCTCAACCCGATGGTCCCTAAGCTCTTTACCTTAAACCCTAACACCCTCAATCCACATACCCTCATAGCTGATAGCCGAAAACCCCTGAACCCCAACACCCCACCCTACAACCCTTTGAAATTCCTGAGCCCTGAAGCCCTAAATTCCTGAGCCCTAAAACCTAAAATCCTGAGCCCTACAGCCCCAAACTGAGGATCCGGGTGCATCTGCAGCATCTGGGCCACCCGAGTGTCTACGATGGAAGGACACCTGACACCACAGGGGAGTTCAGGGGTTAGGGTTTAGGATCTAAGGTTTCGGGTTTAGGGTTTAGGGTTTAGGGTTAGGGCGGGGCTTAAGCTGTAGGGTTTAGGGGTAGTAGGTTTTAAAGTTACGGGGTACTATCTAAGCAAAGAGACTTTGCCTTACGGACAAGAGGGGGGGTTGTTGTAAGTGGGCTCCAGGAACCTCACGAAGCGTTCAGGGCTTGCCATACCTGTGACTGTACCCTAAACCCTAAACCCTACACCCTAAACCCCAAACCCCAAACCCTAAACCCTAAACCCTAAACCCTAAACCCTAAACCCTAAACCCTAAACCCTAAACCCTAAATGAAGGCAGGTGCCTGGCTGGCACGGGCCGCCTTTCGGGTTCTCTTTCGGTGTTTTGCCCCGAAACAGGTACACGCAGCAGCAGGTGCTCGTTCGGCCGACCCAGCTCTGAGACATTTGAGACTAGAGGGCTGAAGGGCTGAATGGCTGTTGTTTAGGGTTTAGGGTTTAGGGTTTAGGGTTTAGGGTTTAGGGTTTAGGGTTTAGGGTTTAGGGTTTAGGGTTTAGGGTTTAGGGTTTAGGGTTTAGGGTTTAGGGTTTAGGGTTTATTGACATTCGAAGGTGCAGTCGTCTTTCTGGCGTGTTGTTGAACATCAATTTCGCTAATGGGGGCGAGGATCACCGACAAAAAAACTGCCTGCTTGTAAAGCCTATTGCCTGAAGGGTCTTTCACCTGAACCCTAAACCCTAAACCCTAAACCCTAAACCCTAAACCCTAAACCCTAAACCCTAAACCCTCGGAGCTCTCGCTCTTGCAATGTCAGCGGGTGCAGAAGAAGTCTTCTCGAGATGCGCTGCGACATGGAGATGTGGACGAGTCCAAAATGTTTAGGGTTTTGGGTTTTGGGTTGAGGGTTTGGGGTTTAGGGTTTAGCACATGCAAGCTCCACTCAAGACTTGGAGGTTGGATGTATCCCTAAGGGTCGATGTACCCATATAGCATATACTTGGGCCCTAAAGCTAGTATATGGGAACCCCTTTAAGGCCCAAGTATATACTATATAGGCACATGGTCCCTTTGGGTATGCAAGGTTTAAAACCCTGTGTAAGTGGAATGTTGAGGGTTGAAGGTTTCAGCTTCAGATGTTCAGAGAGGACACTTTTTCTTTACCAGCTGTGAGCAACGACGCGGCCGACCTGTTGCGATTGGGAGCGCGCTTGATTCAGGTAGCTTGAGCATTCTGTTCTCTATTTTCCACGTACAGATATCGAAGTATCGGCACTTTGAAAGATGAGTCGGAAGCATTCTGCTGTGACGCTTTTGTGACACTCTCCTCCTTTCCTTGGGTGCTTTGTAGTACCTTATCCCTCTGATGTGTGTTTTTTGGGGGTTAAGTCGTCTTACAAACCCAATTATAAACCTAAACCCCAAACCCGAAACCTCAAAAAAGGCCCATCCGAAACCCTTGCCATTCCTTAGCTTGGTTCGGCGCCAAGTCTTTAAAACTCACAGGAACGCCAGAGCCTTTGATCGGTGCCCACGGGTTTAGAGTTTAGGGTTTAGGGTTTAGGGTCTAGAGTTTAGGGTTTAGAGCCTTGGATCGTGGCCATTGCACCACAAGTATCAGGTCTAGTCAAAAGCAGTGGACTGTAGAGCTCCGCGATGCTGGTGCTTGCTGCCGTGGTGCTGGGAGCAGCCGCGTGGATTTGGTGCCCATGGCCGCAAGGAAAATCCCAAACCCTAATCCGATTCGTTTTAACATGTTCGAATTTAGGAGCCCTTTGTTTGGGGTGCTTGTGATGAGGTTTGGGACCTAGAAATTCTCGAGTTTAGGTTTAGGCTTGTAGACTTCAGGTTTTTGGCACCATAGATAGATTTTAGGGTGCTTTCGAATTCGTTCTCATCGCAGGTCGTGCTGCACCAGGTCTCCATCCCTAACAGCCTTGAAGCCCAATCCCTAAACCCGAAGCCCTAGCCCCAGCCCCTTTATCTACGACCCGAACCCTCCGGAAGCAACACACCTAAAGTTCACATGAATAGCCTCAGTTTTTTGTGAGTCCAAAGGTTCCAGCGGTCTGTAAAGTTGATACGAGCACCCCAAAACTGCCCAGACCCTAAACCCTGGACCCTTTTGACTTAGTAGGTAGGGTTAGTACATTGGTTTCTGGTGGTTCTACAGAGCTTTCTAAGGGGATACTAAGTACAGTATGACTAGGTCAAAAGGGCTTCCGAGTACATCAAAGCCTCAACCGCACCCATCGCCATAACCCTAACCTTTATAAACCCTAAAGCCTAAACCCCTCCAGGCTACGGGGAGATGCGCTGGCGCCCCTGATCAGCGAGATGGCTCGGCTTGGCCCGGGTCTTATAGGCTGAGGGGCTTAGGGTGTCAGGTCTAGGGGTTTAGGGTTTAGGGTTTAGGGTTTAGGGTTTAGGGTTTAGGGTGTAGGGTTTAGAGTTGACGGTCGGGATGTTCGGGTCGTTGGTGTTGAGGGGGTCTGGGGTTTAGGGCTTACGGTTTGGGGTTTGGATTTCTCAGTGGTTATGAAGAGATCTTGGATGTAGGATTTAGGGAACCCCTTCAAGGCCCAAGTATCTACTATACAGGTACATGGACCCTTTGGGTGCTGGATTGTGGGGGCCACGGAGGCCTGAACGCCCTGTCTGATAGTCGTCATACCAAGACGGGCTAGCATTCAAGGGCTCTTTGAAGGGTTGATTCTGGGAATTCTAGGGCCTCATAGCCCATCCTGGTAAGAGAGATATGTGCGTATTGGTCATTCCTAAACCCCTAAACGCCCTGGACCCTAAACCCTAAACCCTAAACCCTAAACCCCAAACGCCCTGAACTTAGCACCCTGAGGCATCCTTCCCACGCGTCTCTGTGCCTCCTCCCTGCACGCTGCTGTTGCGCTGGCCCGCGCGACGAGGCCGCTGGCGCAAGTGTAGGGACCCAAAGGGTCCATGTACCCATATGTTTAGGGTTTCGGGCTTAGGGTTGAGGGCTTAGGGCTTAGGGCTTAGGGTTTAGGGTTTAGGGTTTAAGGTTAGGGTACAGTATATACTTGGGCCCTAAAGGGGTTCCCATATAGTAGCTTTAGGGCCCAAGTATATGCTATACGGGTACATGGACCGCATGGACCCTTTGGGGAGAGCTGAGGGTGTATGATCGTACTTGGAGGTTCCTCGTACTTCGCAACGAATTATAATTGTACTCGTAACTGTACTTAGAACCATAATAGGGCACTTAAGGGGCTTATAAGTGGGTTATAAGTTATAAGTTATGAGTACAGTTTTCATGGGTTAATAAGTACCATGAACCTCCAAGTAGTTCTGGAAAAACTGCACGTGAAATCAGTCTGCAAGTTTTGAATGTGCATGTTTTTTCTATCTGCATTACATAGTTCATTTCATTCATCTACAAACATAACATCAATTTTATCATACAACCCTAAACCCTAAACCCTAAACCCTAAACCCTAAAACCTAAACCCTAAACCCTAAACCCTAAACCCTAAACCCCGAACCCCTAACCCCCAACCCCTAACCCCTAAACCCTAACCCCCCCCCCCCCCCCCCCCCCCCAAATGCTCATGCGCTTGCTTGAGGCGGCTCCGTCTACGCGGCCGGGACCTGGCATCCCCAGAGGTCGATTCAGGGCTCCCCTTGGGAGTCCTATAGAGCCAATGAAAATAGGGTTTAGGGTTTAGGGTTTGGGGTTTAGGGTTTAGGGTTTAGGGTTTAGGGTTTAGGGTTTAGGGTTTAGGGTTTAGGGTTAGGGTTTAATAAATCTTGCAGGTTCTTAGTAGGGAATGAGGGAATGCGGTACCCTGTTTCATTCCTTAAACGGTCTGTATAGGTGCTATAAGGTACTTCAGTAAGCTCAAGGAACATAGGGTTTGGAGTTTGGGGCGGCTTAGGGTTGTGCCTGATGGTTCTAAGAGGAGGTTAGGGTTTAGGGTTTAGGGTTTAGGGTTTAGGGTTCAGGGTTTAGGGTTTAGGACGCACCCAAACTTTCAACCTCAAACCCTAAACCCTCAACCCTAGACGCCATAATCAAACCAAAGTTCTCCCTTGGAGGTGCCTGGGACACGTGGTACTCCTCTCTTTGAAACCGAATTTGCGTCTAAACCCGAAACCCGAAACCCTAAACCCTAAACCCTAGACCCCAGAACCTAGACCCTAAACCCCATGCACCGAAGTTCTCCCTTGGAGGTGCAGGCCGCGCTGCGCCCGCTCGAGCAGCTCGAAGCCTTCCTCGTCGAGGCATGGTGCATAGCAAAAGGGAGGGGGGGGGGGGGGGGGTCCTAAACCCTAAACCCTAAACCCTAAGCCCTAAACCCTAAACCCTAGACCCTAAACCCTAAACCCTAAACTCTAACCCTAAACCCCAACCCCCAAACCCTCAACCCTCAACCCTAAACCCTACGCCACATCCTCAGCCGCGCTGGAGCGAGAAGAACGCCGACCTCAACGGCCTCCGCCCTCATCCCAAAAAGTTTGCACCCGAACCCTCGGACAACCCTACTTGGAGGTTCATGGTACTTATGAACCCATCATGACTGTACTTATAACCCACTTATTTATAAGCCCCTTAAGTGGATTAAGAGGGTTATAAGCACAGTTGTAAGTACAGTTATCATAGGTTACTACAGGGTGGGGCCCCCTAGTTATAAGTAGAGTTATAAGGGCCCTAAATTGGGTTATAAGGACCCTAAGTTAGGTTATAAGTCCCTTAACTACAGTTAGTATAGTAAGGGGGCCCCACCCTGTAAGCGCCCTGATCCTCCAAGTAAATCTGTCAACCCTGGAGTTCTTTACCATTAGTAGCCCAGTGGTACCCTGCTCCCTCGTTTTTTTGGGCTTCCAGGTTCCCTGGGTTTAGGGTTTAGGGTTTAGGGTTTGAGTCTGGAGGACTGCACGCTCGAAGTGAATGGCTTCCAGCAGCTTCGCAAGGCCCCGGGAGATTTCGAATCTAGGGTTTAAGGGGGGGGGGGGGGGGGGTTCGTCTTTATTTCTAGTGTTCAAGGGGTTTAGGGCTGAGGGTTTCAGGGATTTTTCTTGATACTGCTGAGGTTTAGGGTTTAGTCCATATACCCTAAGCCCTTCGCCGAAAATTTCTAGGTGATTGGGCTCAAGGTTTAGTAAAAATGCACTAATAAGCCCTGATGTGTAAGAATTAGGCCACCACCTTGGTTTCGGGGGAGGAGGGGCGTTCTGAGGGCTTGTCATTCAGTTCTCTTCATGATGGTTCCCTCCCTTCTTTTTGGGGCACCCTAGATGTTCTTAGCGGCCGTACTGTACCGCCCGAAATTGGCACCAGAATTTTTGCAATCCGGCCACATGAGGGTGACCCTCTTTTCTTATGCAAAATCAAACAAGTGTCCCAATTGTCTTCCTGGGTTTAAGGTCGGATGTGTTTCTGGCATATGGGGGGGGTCAACACAGACATATACATACTATTGCTCTACCAATGCACATCTGATATATATATATATACATATATATATATAGATGTAGATATGAATATATATATATATATATATATATATATATATATTTCCATGGACGGGAGAGACAAAAAGCACCGATGTACACGTAGATACAGACAGATAAGGACATAGACGTAGGACATAGGTATAGATGCGGGTATAGATGCAGATGTAGCTGTGCAGGCGACGGACCTGAATCTGCCATTGCCCCATGCCTCAGGCACTCGAGAGTTGTTCAGAGGTGCACCTTGGTCTCAGAGGTTTAGGGTTTTAGGGGGTTTAGGGGTTTGGGGTGTGTTAGGGTTTAGGGTTTGGGGGCTTTAGGGTTTGAGATAACTCCCACTCACGTGCTTTGCCCAAGCCTGCAAACCCGCTGAGTTTAGCGTTTTACTTTGAGAGTCTAGGGTATAGCCTGCGCACTTTACAACAACCCCCTCTCCCCCCGGGGAAACTGTGGAAATGAATGCAGGCATCGGTGCTCTCGGGAGGTTTCAGGGCTCTCTAGGACTGCCCTAAACTCAAGCCGACACCGTATAGACCCTACTGACCCAGCATATTATGTTCTCCTAACACCTGAAATCCTAAGCCTAATATGAATGATGGAAATGACATGACATGAAAAAAGTATGTACATATATATGTACACACATAGTTTCTGACTGTTATGTTTACACACACTCACACGCGTTCTTGCATTTATACAGATACATTTACACATACATATACACATACACATACATACGCACATACATATGCACAGGAGCATCTGTTCTTATTCACTCGTGACTACAACCTTACAAGAACCCCCCAGTGAGACCCAAAAACCCAAACCCAGGGCCTTCCTGCGCTGCCCCCTCGGCGCCCTCCCGAGCGGCCTCGTGGAGCTGGCGCCCCGCGCGCTGCGGCCGCGCGGCCGCTCGTGGAACCCCGAACCCCAGACAGTGTGGCATAAGGGTTCGGGTTCACGTGTAGTGCCCCCCCCCCTATATATATACACACATATATATATATTATATTATATTATATTATATTATATTATATTATATTATATATATATACATGTATATGTGTATATATATATAGGGTTCTAAGGGCCCTAGATTGGGTTGCAAGTCTTACTACTCAAGGTGATATTTCCTTGAACCAAGGTTTGCATAGTAGGGGGGCCTCTACTTGTGGGTTTTGCACAAGAACCTTGCCTTGCGTGGTGTTGGCGGAAGCTCGCTTTCAAGCCGTCGTGGATTACAACCGGGGGCACTCTCATCCCTACTTAGGATTGTTAGTATAAGGGGGAACATCCCAACCCTAAACCCTAAGCCCTAAGCCCTAAAGCCCTAACCCTAAACCCTAAACTCAGAAGCCTCCACATGCGAACATGCCGCTGAAGGCTCCGTGCCTGCGGCCTCGAGGCCGAGGCGCTGTCCGAGCTGGGCACCGCCGTGAGGAGCGGCTTTGGGTTTTTTGGGGATGGTTTTGGTGTAGGTTACTAGGGTTCAGGGTTTACGGTTTAGAGTTTAGGGCTTAGGGTTTAGTTTAAGGTTTAGGGCTTAGGGTTTCGGGTTTGGGGTTTAGGGTTTGGGGTTTAGAAGGCTAGGGAACCAGTCGTAAACCCGACTAGAATGTCGAACACTCCACAGCAGCAGCTGCTTTTGGGATTTCGGCAGAACACTGCCGGAGCTTTCGGCCACAGAGCTGCTGGCGGCGCTGCCCAACGCAGGCGCCGCAAGTGAAGGCCACTCAGCAGGAAAAGTTGGCGGTTTAGGATTTAGCTCTTCGGGTTTAGGGTGCCAGGGTGAACCCCTAAACCCGAAACCCGGGACCTAGAGTTTCATTGCATGTGCACGGGTTCACGGTCTAGGATCATAGCGTATGTAGGATTTAGGGGCCTATAGGGCACATGAACTACAAAATCCTCGACCGGAGTTTTTGGAGAGTGGCACTCAAACCAAAACCCCGCGAACCTCAATCCCATGCCGGCCGAAGCCCAGTTGAGGTGCATCCCCATAAAGTATTTACTCAGGGTTTAGGGTTTAGGGTTTAGGGTTTAGGGTTTAGGGTTTAGGCTTTAGCCTGAACCTCGGTGGTGGTGCATTTGCTTCGTGGCCCTTCAGGCTCGGCAGCTCCTCAGCGCACCCACCTGGCGATGAGCCTGGTGGCGTTGGACCTCTCTGCGAATCGCCTGACAGGTGGGATACCTGGGGGTGAATTCCTCAGCCCTAAGCCTTAAGCTCTAAGCCCTAAGCCTTAAGCTCTAAGCCCTAAGCCCTAGACCCTAGACCCAATCTGTAAGCCCCATACCCTATACTCTATAAAACCCTAAACCCATGTGGCCCCGAAACTTTCCCAAGTCTTCGCAGGGCATGGTTGTTTGTAGACTGGATTCACCATGCGGGCCGAGCATGGCCTGAAGTTGGTAGCCGAAAGGGTCCATGTACCTATATAGTATATATTTGGGCCTTAAAGGGGTTCCCATATAGTAGCTTTAGGGCCCAAGTATATGAAGGTGCCGTATTTGCATTAGGGACCCCAAAAGGGACCATCATATGCTAGATGGGAACATGGACCCTTCGGGTAGGGCATGGATGCTCTGGCCATTCGCATCGAGCACCCCCGAGCGCTTGATGCATGCGGGGCGAAGTAATTGGGGTTTTGGGGTGTGAGGTTCACACACTTCTGTAGCCACCTCTGCCCCTAAAACCTAAAAACACCCTCTTCTCCCTATAAACCCTGTAAGCCCCCCCCGAAACCCTAAAGCCTAAACCCTAAACCCTAAACCCTAAACCCTAAACCCTAGACCTTAAACCCTAAACCCTAAACCCTCCAAAATTCCTACAAAACCTCTATACACACCTTAAAAGCCCCCCAGGGTCTGGCCGGACCTTGGCCCTTCTCCTCCGGCATTGCAACCAGCTCCTGTGACCCAGAGTGGCCTCTTTTTCGTCTTTTTAGGGTTAGGGTTTAGGGTTTAGGGTTTGGGGTTTGGGGTTTATGGGTTTAGGGGTTTAGGGTTTAGGGTTCAAGTGTCGGATTTCAAGGTCCGGTTTAGGATTTCCCTCCAAAAAGCCATGAGCCCTGAACCTCCTAAACCAAACAGGAGTACCCTAAACCCTAAACCCTAACCCTAAGCCCTAAACCCTAAACCCTAAGCCCTAAACCCTACTAAAGGCGTACCCTTCTTGTATTCCTCGGTTGCGGGACCGAGGCTCGCGCTGCTCCAGCTGGACGACTGTGCCTTGCACGGCCTTTTGAGGTGATTAGGGTTTAGGATTTGGGTTAAGGGGTTTTAGGGTTTAGGATGTGGGGGTTTAGGGTTTAGGGTTTAGGGTTTATCACTGGGATTAGGATATGGGCTTTCGGAGTTTAGGATTTTTTGCCGGTTGTTTTCGGGTTTTGGGGGGGAGGGGGGCATTGGGTTCTGGGGTTTGAGGGGTTATTAGGCGTTTTATTGAAGTTTTTCATCATAGGGTACCTGTTGTTTTGAAAGAAGTGGAGCCGAGGGTTTGGGGGCTACGGCGGCGGGCTTCAAAGGAAGGGGCCAGGACATCATGTCGCTTAGGCCCTTCTAAGTAGGGTTCAGGGTTTAGGGTTTGAATTTCATAAGAAGCCTGAACCCCCCATGTTCTCTGATGTCCCAAAACAATCCCTACAATGGAGACGAAGCCCGAAGCAACAAACTCCCAACACCAGACAAGCACCCTACTTGGAGGTTCATGGGCACTTCTAAGTAGGGTTATAAGTACCCCAAACAAGGCTATAACCATAGTTGCCCTACTTATAACCTTAAACTCTAAATCCTGAACTCTACAGGCCACCGAATCCTGAACTCTTCAGGTGCGCTGAGCCTCGAGGACCTGAGCCAGCTTGCCCGTGCTTTGGCGCGCTCGCGCGCTCCGGCTGTGGTTTAGTTTAGGGTCCAGGGTTTAGGGTTTAGGTTTTAGGGTTTAGGGTTTAGAGTTTAGGGTTTAGGGTGCCATTGTGTCATATCTTTCGTTATTTGTCAGGAGAGTTTGGATGAAAGCACATGGCTTCGAACCTACACGGAGATACGCGTGACATGAAACCCTGTACCCTAAACTCCAAACCCAGATGGGGTTACGACAACGAGTATAGAGCCAGCACCTCGCCCTGACAATCAAGGCCCTAAACCCTAAACCCTAAACCCTAAACCCTAAACCCTAAGCCCTAAGCCCTAAGCCCTAAGCCCTAAACCCTAAACACCTAAACACCGAACACCTAAACCCTAAACCCTAAGAGGAGGCAGTTTCGACAAGCCAGGTAGCTGATCAGCTTCCCCAAATGGATGAAGGGTTGAGGGTGTAGGGTATAGGGTTTAGAGTTTGGGCTTTAGGGTTTAGGGTTTGGGGTTTAGGATTTAGGGTCTAGGGTTGAGGGGCGTTCACAACCCCGTGTGTAGAACATAGACAGAATACCGCCATGGACCTAACCGTGAGGGGGGGGGGGGGGGTCTGCAAAGTCTTCAACCCTAATTAAGCCCCTGGAACATCCTTATCCCCATACCCCAAACAAGGCATAATTACTAAAGGGAATCCCAGCTCTAATCATCCTTCAAGCATGTTCCAACTTTCTGGAGATTTGCTGTAATTAAACCCCAAACCCCAAACCCTAAACTCTAAACTGGAGTTTACTGTGAGCTTTCCCCCTAAACCCTAAACCCTGAACCCTAAACCCTAAACCCTAAACCCTAAACCCTAAACCCTAAACCCTAAACCCTAAACCCTAAACCCTCAGCAAGTCCTGCCATTCTTACCAGGCTTGGAGCGACTGGATTTGGCCGGCAATGCCCTGCGTCGCGAGGGCCTCCTGGCCGTGGCCAGGACGCTGACTGAAGGGTCAGGGTTTAGGGTTTGAGAGGTTTTGGTGTTTTAGGGTTTTTAGGGTTTGAGGTTTTTAGGACCTTTAGGGTTTGAGGTTTTTTGGATTTTAGGGTTTTGCGTTTGAGGGTTTTGGCGTTGTAGGGTTTCAGGGTTAGGGTTTAGGGTTTAGGGTTTAGGGTTTAGGGTTTAGGGTTTAGGGTTTAGGGTTTAGGGTTTAGGGTTTAGGGTTTAGGTGGGTGTTTTTTTTTTTTTTTTTTTCCGCGCGGTTGGTTGAGGGCGGGGGGCGGAGAGCAGACGGCCTTGTTTCAACACATCCCCCTAGTTGCGACTGCAACTCTTTCTATTGCAGCATCCTCGCACAGTTTCGGCGCCTACTGGCTCTTGGTAGTCCAGTGGTGTTTTTTCTAGTTCACGGTTCCCTTTTAAAGCAGCCAACCCATAAACGGGTGCCCTTATTAAAATATGGTTATTGGGCTACCAAGGGATTAGGGTTTGGGACCCCCCCCCGCACCCCACAAGAAAATGCGAAATAAGAAAAACCTTAACCCCCAAACCGCAGAACCTGTAACTTTACGGTTTAGGGATGTTGCGGGTTTAGGAAATCTACTGCTTGGGATGTTCCCCTTTATAGTAACAATCCTTAGTCGGGATTATATTGGGGGGGGGACTATAATCCCTGTTAAGGGGCTGTTAGTGTAAGGGAGAACATCCCAATATCAGCCCTAAACCCTAAACCCTAAACCCTAAACCCTAAACCCTAAACCCTAAACCTTTCAAGCCCTAACAAGCAAAATCTACTGCACTTCTCGTACAAGGCGGGGACAGCCGAAGCTGCCTTCGGCCCAGGAGCCTGCCAAGCTCCCACGTTCAAGACCTGGGCCTCGAGAGGAGGCTTGATTAATTTAGGGTTTAGGGTTTTGGGTTTTGGGTTTTTGGGTTTAGGGTTTAGGTTGGTTTATTTCGGTTTAGGGCTTCGGGTTTAGGGTTTAGGCCTTCTGGTTTAATGTTTCCCGGAGTTCTAAGGTTTAGTTCGGGAGTTTGGGTTAAAGACCATCAGACAGTCATGATGCCCGAGGAACGGTATCGTGCTTGGCGATGCCCTGAGCGAGTTGAAGAGGGCGCATGACAAGAGGCCCTTTCCAGGCAGGGCCTGCAATAGTTGTTGTTAGGGGCTCAGGCTTACTGAGGGGTATCTGGGCAGCTTCAGCATCACCACGGCAGACAAGGAGTAGGGCAACTTTCGAAGATTAAAACATCAGCTTCAGCAGCTTCAGGTCTAGAATACACCCTGAACCCGTAAATCTAATGCTAAGATTCGCTCGACCATCTCCCTGCAAGAAGGAAGCCTCGTTTGTGCAAGGAATCGGTTCCCGTCGCGGACGATTTATTGCCGCCTGTAGAGAGAAAGTCGAAGATGCTGTCAGTTCTCTTTATCCTAAAGCCTAAGCCCCAAGCCCTAAATTATGTTGTTTGGGGTTCCCATTCTAACGCAAGAAAAACCTTGCATTTTAAGGCACCCCAGAAGGGACCATGTATAGGTTTTTTACGGGAGGGGGTTCATGGGGGGGTAGGAACCTAGGGAGCCTTAGGGTTTAGGGCGACTGAGCGAGTTGTGGGAGTATGAGGGGGCCTTGGGTTACACACCCTAAACCCTAAACCCTATAACCCTACCACCTTACAACCCTATAAACTTTAAACTGTAAGCCCTATAACCCTGTAACCCTATAACCCCATAACCCTACAACTATAACCCTATGACCCTATAACCCTATAAACTATCAACCCTAAACCCTACATGTTCCTTTTTTTCAGGCCTCCGGCTCCAGGGCAACCGCCTGTCCTCCGCTGAGCAGAGGGCCTTCCTTGCCTCCTTGCAGGCCTGTTTTGGGGGCCCTAAACCCTAAAACCCTAAAAACCCCAAAAACCCTGAAAACCCTGAAAACCCTAGAAACCCTAAAACCCTAAACCCGTGTCTTCTCCCGTGTGCTCGCAGTCTTGTTTGCCCCTTTGTTTGATTACTTTGCTCACTTGCTAGAACTGTTATGCACGCGGCTTTCTCGCTCTGTGCTGATTTTCTATCCACGTCTTCTCAAACATGTCACACTCTTAGTTCGCCCTATACCCGTGAAGAAACTGCACGCCTTAGCAATTACTAGGGATGAGCCTGCCAGCCTGCCAGAACCTTAACCCGAACCCACACCCACCCCTGCAACCCCGGCGCCCCTGCTGCACCCTTAAACCCCTACAAACCCCTCTAAACACTAAACGCTAAACCCTCAACCCTGTATATGCCCCTATCGAGCCCTCCGAGGCCGCCACCTCGCGACGCCTCGCTGGCGCATTCTGCCCGCCGGGCTGCAAGTGCAACCCCGCCGGGAGGGGGTTTAGGGTGTAGAGTGTAGGGTTTAGGGTTTACGGTTTAGGGCCTAGGGTTTAGGGTTTTTACTTAGGGATTATACGTTTAAAAAGTGCTTAGGGTTCATAGGGTTTCTAGGGTTTTGTAGGTTTCTGTAGGGTTGCGTAGGATTTGTAGGGTTCGTAGGGTGTATGGGGTTTATAGGGCTGGAAGCTCTCATAGGCCTTAATTAGGGTGCATCGGGCCTTGTTGGGTTTTTAGGGCTTACAGGGCTTGCTTTAGGGTTTGGGATTTCGGGCTAGGGTCAATGCAGTCCAGGCTTTAGGGCTTATTGGGGGAGGGTTGTGGCTTGTAAAGGGCACTGGTAGCTTAGAGGCTGATCACTTGCGCTGGTTTTGCTTTGTGGTGTTTTCGGAGCTCTGGCTGGGCTTGAGGATTGTAGGCCTATAGGGTCATTTGTTTCTTTGTCAGGGTAGATGTGTGGATCTCTGTGTGTCGTGCGTCTGCCCATATCCCGAACAGTGTCTAGAAGCCTGCGCCCTGCTACTGCGCGTAGTATAGGGGCCTTTACAATTAAGACTAGGGTTTTGGGGGGTTATTATAGTATAATTGCAAAGGGACCCTAAAGGAATAATATTAGTAGTTCTTCCGACACCTATATTACCCCCCGCCCCGTCGGCAGGTGCTTCGAAGGCCGCGGCGAAGTTATGTGAGCGACGTCCACCTTGCCTGCGTCTGTGGGAGGGAGGCTTGGGCCCTAAACCAGTGAGTAATAGGGATTATAATAGGGGGTACTATACTCGCTACTAAGGACTATTGGTATAAGGGGGAACATCCCAAATTTACAGCTTCGGCTGGGTGTTTGGACTGCGGCTTTTTAGAAGTTCGCACGTCTTTGAAGCTGCGCACGTTCCGCGCAATGTCCTTCTTGCATTGTTCAGGACATGCTCAGCCGCGCAGCTGAGAAGAACGTCTTCATTCCGGCAGTAGAAGTCACCTCGACGGACCTATATAGCTCCGGTTGGTGAAGCGTCGGGTGGTTTACGGCTTGGGGCTCAGGGCATGCGAGCTCAGGTTTCAAGTCAAAGCTGGGTAGGTTAAGTCCTTCAATGTCGCTCAGGGATGGGTTGGAAGCATGGTACGTCTTCTTGCTTCGGACTGCATGTTTCTCACGCACGCACACACACAGACAGAGCAATTGTGCTGCGATACCCGATACCCGAATGAAGCCCTAAAACTTACTTCCCACCAGAACCTTCGCTGTTCTCCTGTGTCTCCGTCTTGGCACAAACAAGCACAAGGACATCGACGAAGACCTGGTGGGCAGCTTTGCTGAGAAGGCGCTGCTGGTGAAAGCGGAAGTGGGAGCGAGATGCAGAGGCAGAGAGGGAGGGAGCAACTTTCGACTGGAGAAGAAGAAGAAGAAGTTGCCAACAGAGCGCTTGTTTTGTTATTGACGACCATTAAAAACAAGCAGCCAAGAAGTCCAGTTTCCAAGACCAACGGCAGGTTTGATGGAATATGAAGAATAAGTGCGATGCCACGGATGCTGGAAGTCGAGAGCCTTGTGCAAGAGGGGGCGAAGCGATGCAAAACCACACAACTTTTCTTGAGCACTCGGGGACAGGGGAGAAATTGCCGGCCACTGTCAAGTCTTGTTTCATTGATGAAGGTTTCAGCCTGGAGGTAGAATCGGGTACAGAAGACCTCACAGCACTGGAAATGAGAAGGTAGTGAGAGTTTGGACGAATACTTGAAAGTGAGATCGTGATGTTCAGTGAAAGAGAGCGACAGAGCGAGGGCGAACCAGAAACCAGCAGGGAGGCAGCAGGCGACACAGAGACGCGTAGGGAACCCAGACAGACAAAGGAACACGCACGAGCACCACCAGGACGGATGAGATGTAAACAACATTGTTTGCAGCATGACGTGCGTACCGTTTGCAGCACATGTCAACCTCGAAGACAGGTCTGTAGACTGGCAGCATGGCCTCAGGAAGAGTCGCCCCAGGCGTTCTTGCTTCGTGTGTATGGCTGTGGTCCATATGGTGTTTGCCAGTCGCAGATCGGGCCTTTGTGTCCTTCAGCGCCGCATACCCTCAACAAACTGCTTTGAACTCCAGATATGCGGTGGTGCGGAGAGTGCGGGAGAAAAAGGTTCGAGGTGAAGGACGCAAGCAGATTGACACGAGGAAGGCGCAAGTTAGAGCCAAAAAAGGCGCCCATTTCAAGGGTATGCTGACTGACTTGAGCAAGGCAGCGTAAAAGGGCGATATCAAGGGTGCCGAGGCCATTTTCGCAACGCTCACGTCCATGGAAGGTGAGTTCGTAGTGGAATCTCGGACAGTCAATAAGCTCATTCTGGCAGCAGCACATGGTGGTGATATCTCCAAAGCCAAGCATTGGTTTGAGCGGCTCATTCTTGATTTTGATCTCAAGCCAGATGTTACCATTTTCACCAGTATGATCACAGCTGGTGCCAAGTACGGAGACGTCGAATTCGCAGAAGAGTGGTTCGAAGCTATGCAGTTCTATCAGGTTTCGCCAACTGTTGCATCGTACGGCGCTGTAATCCTTGCAGCTGCCAACGCACAAGATCTGGCTGCAGCAGAGAAGTGGTTTGGGAAGATGGAGGAACATGGTCTGCAAGCCAACCAGATCATTTTCAATACGGCTGCTTGGCAAGGATTCCACTAGCTGTGCAGGGGTTCAGAGATAGGCTCGAGCTTTCATCAGAAGGTCTTCCTGTGCTTTTTTTGAAAATTCCGCGCCCGCCGCGAGCCAGCTTCTTGTGTTGCTGCAATCACTATTGGGGCGCATGACTCTGGCTCAGGTCATGAGTGCTGCAGCAAAGGCTGCAGACGTAGCAGCTTGCGAAGCATGGTTCCACAAGATGAAGGAAGCGCTTTTTGTTCCGACTGAGGTTGAGTTTACCACCTTAATCAATGCAGCCAAAGAAGCCGGCAATTATGAAAAGGCATCGGAATATTTCAGTGCCTTCCGTCAGCAAGGGCTCCATCCAACAGACATCATAATGGATGCCCTGATTGGCGCAGCAGCCAATGCAAGACAGCCTGACGAAGCTGTAAGGGTGCTTGAACAGATGAGGTCTTTCAAGGTCACGCCTTCGCATAGATGCTACGGCACCGTCATGAATGCGTGGTTCAAGACGAAAGATGCGTTGCAGGTAATGAAAACTATGAGACAGATGCAAGAAGCCGGGTACAAGCGTAGTGTTGTGGACTACACCATGACCATGAGCGCGCTGGCACATTATCCCAAAGGGTCCATGTACCTATACAGTATATACTTGGGCCTTAAAGGGGTTCCCATATAGTAGCTTTAGGGCCCAAGTATATGCTATATGGGTACATGGACCCTTAGGGTATCAAAGGCAAAAGGACATTGAGCAGCTGCTTCGCGAGATGATTTCCGAGCAGACTTACCCAAACTCTAGAACAATTCAGACGTTGAAGCAAAGCCTTGGCCAACAGCGCTACCAGGAGCTTAGCCGGGAGCTTTTCTTGGAAAGACGGTTCGACAAAGTCACAAGCCAATCCTGAAGACACATCTCGGAGGCTTCCTTGTCTGCATCAAGATTCCCACAACTAGTGGCCAAAAAGGCTTCAACCCGAAACTGACAGAAAAGTTGCTGTCGGTCATGTTGCCCAATATCCCGGGAGATGGCACTTCTCCCGTTCATGCGTTTATACAGTTTCAAGTTTTGCACAGTGATGCCGTATGCAGCGAAAGGTCTCAACATGCCAGCCAGAATGCTGATAAAAACCAAGACCCTTGCAGTGCAGCTTTCGCTCAGTGCACCATGCTATTCAGTCAGAAATCGTGTTGCCTCTGGTTACCCTGGTGCTTCGAAGTCGTGGATTCTTGCAACGTTCTGCTAAAATTATAAAGCAGCCCTACACCTGTGACTCAACTTTAGTCTTAGAAATGTTAAGTCCTGCACCTGCCTCGGGTCACATACGCAAGCAGATGACGGCTCCCAAGCTTACCCTGCAACTTCTCAGCACCGATCCTTCAGTCAATTAGGCTGCAAAGTGATACCTTCCCGCACACTCTATTTTGAGCTCCACTTCATACCTATCCAAACACCATTGTCCGCATCATTGATTGAACCAATGCTTACGTCTGGGTCAGGTGCTCACCATTCATGCTGCGGGCGATGGTGCGGAGATTCTGAAAGCCGAGCACTCGAAACATTCTGTTCGGGCTCTTTCAATGTTTAGGGGTGGGGTAAGAGTGGGAGCTGCTTGGAAGACGCTGCTGGCTCTGTGGCCGCCTGCAGTTGCACTACGCTCAAAGACTCGCGTACTCCGGCTCCTTTTTTGTTGAGACTGTAACATTGCCCTGAATCCCGTGCACGCGCATGTCCAAGGCTTGAGTCTTCGCCCGCCGCGACTCCACGGTCACCAGGTCGGGGCGAGAGGGTGAATGGGATTTTCAAGTTCGGCTTGTTCCTGTGTTCTGCTGAATTTGGGTTAGAGAAGACTCCAAGCTGTATCTTTGTCAGGAACGATGTGGAACACGATGGCTTGCTCGAAGCATGGCACCGCCGTGCGCATTCGAGGGCGAAAATGCTGCTTCCAAGATGCTAAGATGGACACATGGCAAGCTGGCTGACCTCCGCGGCCCGACCACCGGCTAAGGGGTCGAATGATTACGAATAGTATTCCCTTACAGTTCCTTCTATATATCTATGCTAGATTACCCCCGAAAACCCTATTCTAATTATTCAGGCCCCTAATATTACCGTCTGCACCGGCTCAAGAGGAAAGCGTAGCGCTGCCCAATGAGCCATCAAGAATTCAGAATCTAGCCGAGGTAGCCGACTGCACCTTCGCTCGAGGACTTGATTCTAGCCGGGGCGTCTAAACCCCAAATCCTAGAAGTCATGAAGCTCCCTCCTGCAGACCTCGACGCTCGCGCGTCGAGCCCCTGACCTACTCAGTTACCACCCCACGAAGCAAAACTCAGAACTGAGAGTTGGACAGAATACTAGGGGCCCTGAACCCCCAAAATGGGCACCAATCCCCTCCGCAAACCCTAGACCCCAAGCCCTATAAACCCTAAACCCTACAGACTCCCCGCCCGCCTCTCCGACTTGGCGCCGGGCGTCATGCGATCATGGCTTACCCAGGAGGCGGACGGCTCTTGACTGCGGGGCTTCGGTTTTTGCTCTTAGCAGTTTAAGGGTGTAAGGTTGAGGGTTGATACAGGTGTTAGGGATTTTGGTTATAGGTGGCCAAAGAGGTGTATTTCTTTGTTGAGTCTTCCGCAGTGCGAAGCACTGTGTGGACAGTCCTGCCCTGAAGGTGACAACGTCGATGACAGCGTGGTCTTCCTCTGCCTGGAGGCTCACCAGCATTCCTTTAAACCCGAAACCCGAAACCCTAAACCCCAAACCCCAAACCTTCAACCCTAAACGTTAAAGCCTACCTTAAACCTTAAACCCTAACCCTAAACCCAATGCCATGAAAAGCCCCATACCCCCCCATACCAGGCCAGCGATGTTTTGCTGGAGCCGATGCCCGGACCCCAGCTGCTGGGCCATACGTGAAGTGCAGCTCAAGCATGTTTAGGCTGACAGAAGGTGTTCAGAGTTTAAATGATAGTTTGGATCGTGTGGGTTGACCCGTCTTCGGTCTTGGGTCAAGGCGCTCTTTGGGCTCAGGCTTATAGGGCCTTAAAACCTTTATTCCCTCCATCAGGTCGCCTCGGAACCTGGAGTGATTCCCATTCTCGGTCTCGCGGCACTCTGGACTCGGTAGACTTTAACATCACCTGGCCCTGGTAGGTGCAGCACGTGGGAGCTGCAACAGGCCAGCTTGCGCACAGGTTTTTCGGGCATCTGTTCATGGGGTTCTCGGTTGCTTGGGGTTTCAGGGGATTGGGTGGCTATAGCTTTTTTTGGGCGTTTCTTGCAGTTTCTTGAGCACCTGGATGGACGAAGGCGATATATCTATCTAACCCAGTGGCTTGAAAGATAGAAGCCGGGGCTATAAGGAAGGGATCTTCCGAGAGTGCACGCGAGAGAGAGAAGGGCAGGGAACAAGAGAGAGCGTGGGGGACCTTTATCGGGCGGCTAGAAGGACGCTCTGCACAAATGCCTGTAACGAAGACCTGAGCCTCTAGCCCGCAGAGCCACGACCCCCAAAGCCATAAAGCTCTAGAGCCCTAAGTCCTTGGGACCCTTGTCCCTGAGAGCCCAAACATTAAAAGGCCGGACACCCTGAACACTACCATCTCCCTAGACCGTGAATCGGTGAAAGTTAGGCCCTAAATCCCTAAACCCTTACACCCCACAAACTCCACTCCCCTATCGCCAAGCCAGGAGCTTGTTCCCTATGTTCTCTCGCACTCGCTGCAGTCTCGCCGTCTGGTATTCTAGGATTCCGAAGGGATGAGTTTAGGGTTTAAGGTTTAGGGTTTAGGGTTGGGTTCTGCCCAACCTCCTTATTAGCAGGCCTTAGCAGCTAGTTGTTAGGACAATTGCTTTGACCATTGTTGAGGGTTCAGGGTTCAGGTTTTCCGTTGTAGTTCGGGTTCAGGGCTTCGGCGTTTTCTTGTTTAGGTTTCAGAGCTTCGGGGTTCTTAAGCACACCCATGGCACCTTAGCCCTAAACCCCGCACCCGCAGGCTTTGTGTTTGGCAAAGCCCCGGTGCCCACGCCAGGATCATGGGTTCCCCAACTCCCCCCAACCCCCCCTTCCTCCCCCCCCAGGTTCCCCCCAATAGTTACGGCTATTTAGGGATAGTTGAGAATTAAGCCAAATTAAGGTCCTGTAAGGGGGGAACCTAGGAGGGGGCGGAGTACTTAGAGGGGGGGTAGTAGGGAAACCCTAAACCCTAAACCCTAAACCCTATACCCTATACCCTCTAAACCCTAAACCCTATAAACCCTAAACCCTAGAAACCCTATAAACCCTAGAAACCCTAAACCCTATAAACCCTAAACCCTAAACCCTAAACCTTGGATGACAGGAATGACCTTTTCCTGAAGCTGCCGAAGGCCGAGCGCCAGGCGGGCTGGCGGGGAAGATGGGCGGGGGGAGGAGGAGGTGTTCCACATCAGGGTCCCTTCCCTGTCTTTGGGTCCAACGTATCAGGGAAATCAGGGAAATTAGGGTTTAGTGTATTCGTGTTAAGGGTAGTAGGGTTGAGGGTCTTCATTATTCAGGGTAGAGAGGGTGTTTGGGGAGTTCAGGATGTGCGCTTTGGGGTTTTTGAGGGGCTTGTTTGAATCCGGCCCCTTGCAACTCTGATTCAAAGACTCGTGGTAAGCTACAGAGAGGTTCTAACTACCTTAAACAGGGTAATAACATAGGCTCTCTTACCTGTGCGATCTGTACCTGCATCTATATCTGCCCATGGACCTTCAAGTAGCTTTAAACCCTAAACCCTAATTAAACCCTAAACCCTATAGACCCTAAATCCTAAACCCTAACCAATGCTGTCCACCTCTGACAGAGGCCCAGGTGAAGATCCTGACGCAGCGGATCCTCAGCGGCGAGACAGGGCAACCAAATGGTCCTGAGCTCAGCATAGCACTCCAAAAAGTTGGAACATCCTTCTCCCCATGCCCCAAAAGGTATACTAAAGGGAATCCCAGCTCTAATCATCCTACTTTCCGGAGTTCGAAAGAAAATTTGCGATCCCTAGTCCCCCGAACAGAAGGATCCCATTTTTCGCAGGACCCCCAAAAGGTACCCCTAAGTTCGGAAACCTGCAAATAAAGGACATTCACGGACCGTAGGAATCTTACGTATCTCAGAACCTTAATCCTAGTGACCGGGAGGATGTTAATGTGGGGACTAATGGGTGTTTTGGGGCACTTGAGGATGAGTTGTTGATTTTAATTGTTGACGTTTGCACGGCTGAAGCCCTGAACCCGAAAATGTCAAGCTAGATTTCTAGGCTGCTCCAAGACAAATGCAAACCCTCAACCCCGAACTCGAAAAACCAAGCAGGCCTTCATGGGGCCTAGGGGGTTTAGGGTTTAGGGTTTAGGGTTGTATGCTCCCTGAACCCTAAACCGCAGCACCCCTGGGGCACGACCAGGGGAGTCCTCCGCTGACGATGAGGGCGCCTCACCCTCTACACCCAGGCTGGGCGCGGGTTTGGGATTTAGGGAGGTTCAGGGTTTAGGGTTGAGGGTTTAGGGTTCAGGGTTTAGGGTTTAGGGTTTGGGGTTAGGGTTTGGGGTTTAGGGTTCAGGGTTTAGGGTTGGTGTCTTGGTGGGTCGGTTTTCTCATGGGAGACTACCTTGGACCCCTAAGGTTGTACCCTTGGGTTTGGGGACCCTTTTTCAAGATCCTGTAAGGGAATATAAAGGGGTGCATCGTTAGGAGTATATATTGAGGGAAGCCTCAAGCCCTTGATTTTCAGTTTTGGGATGTAGAGTTGGCGTTTGGGTCTGAGAGTCTGAACCTCTCGAATCTTATTCTTAAGGGATCGCCCTTTCTCATTCTTCTACAGCTTGGGCCCTTTTGGATTGCACCACAAATATTGAGCTCTGTATTACAAGAGACACCCCATGAGGGAGGCT